TGGCTCAAGACGTCGAACTCGATTCACTGCTATCTGCATTGCCCATATACAAATATATTATTCATACAGGCGTATATAAATAAAATATACACGTACACACGCATGTTTATGTACTATACAAATTTAGAGACGAATTCTTACTCTTGGCGGATATATTTTAATTTTAAAGACTCCTCTACTCGTGTATATTTCTGTTTATAATAATTGTTAGCTGCTTGTTCGCTGTCACATGCGAGTAAATTGAAATATATTTTTGTAGATGTTTGCGTTTGTGTGTTTTCTACCGGTATTGATTGAATGCACAGTTACGCATCTAATATCCGTGTGTGCGAGTAAGTATAAATGTAAAACACACACCACACACACACACACGCACACACACACACCACACACACACACAAAAACACACACAAACATATATTCTAATGTATAATATAAGTAAATGTTTTCTATGCATCTAGTTTTCGTATAAAATATGTTTGGCATTCAATAAGGTACGCTCGCTTGTCTACATCTATGTTTTTTTATATTAATATTTATGTAATACAACAACGCTGATAAATGAATAATGCTTTTCGATCGGTTTGAGTTTGCAATCGTTAGATAGAAACAATAACAACAATCAATGATTGAATGTGGAATTTTTTTAAAACGAACTTGGGTAATAAATCAACCGTTTAAATGGAGCAGTCCACGGTCTCCAGTGTCCTAAATGTCCCTACGGCCTTTAACCTGTGTCTATATGTAATGAAATAGAATAGAATAATAGAATGGTTCTTGAACATTTCGAACAGAATTCCAGAATACTGGCTATCTGATGTTTTTTGAAGAATAAAACAGAAAGATAAAAGTTGGCAGACTGCCAACAAATGGATGGTGATTTAACAAAATAGACTGATAATGTTAAATTCAGTAGAATTGACCACTAAGAAAAAATGATTTTGGATAAAAATTAATGATTATCTGGTTTCTACGGTCCTATATGAAAGTAAACAAAATCATTGATTGAGTGATCGTCTGATTGATACATTTAAAGGACTTGAATTCATTGCAATATTTTCAGTTTCAATTTTTGAAATTTAATTCGCTTTCCTTAACATTATGAAGAAAAGGAAATAGTGAAAATAATAAAATAAGGTACCGGATGACCGTGTGGTACCGACCGTCAACTAAGCGGACAGAGCCGCCCTAACAGTAAAAAGAAACATTTCTCCATTAGGTATTCGTCTCTTTCATCACAAAGTTTATGCCGCTGGTGGCTGGTGTGAACGTCCGAAGAACCTGATTAATTGACATGGGAGGATTCATAAACTTGGCCCATCTCCATGCATCATTAACTGTACGGCCGTATAATTATTAATTCATCAACCAATTTTATTTCTGCATAGGTCTGCTTTGCTGGCCGGTATTATCATTAATATTACATAGTGGTACATACACATAAGCTTACTATATATGCTTATTGTTTTAATGTTTATCGTCTAATTTTTATTATTATTATAATTTATTATTGTATTTTATTATAATTTATTATTGTATTTTATTATTATTATTATTATTATTAATATTGATGTAAACACGCAAACAAGGTCTTCAACTTTATCTCATGCTAGGTATAAATAATAAATAATTTGCTCCTGTTTGTACCATGAATTATTGTTGTGTGTGATTGTGTGTGTGTGTGTATGCGTGTGTGTGTGTGTGTAAGTATATATATATATTATGTGTGTGTGTGTGTGGGATTTAAAAATTTTAAGTGCAATACGAAATGTGAATCTTGTCTGATTGGTTTGAACCTGGACAGACGTTTAAAAAATTTATTCGAGGTTTTCAGATCATTCCAGCAAACTCACTTCC